AAGCAGTATCGTCGCCGTCTTCTACAACCCCAGAAAAATAGGGCAACTCTGAATTTCACGGCCTTCTTCTTTTCACCGGCAGTTTAATCTATTGGTGAGGGTGTATCTTATTTTCAGTGGGAAGTTTTTTTGTTTGCAAAGAGCTTGTAGCTATTAGACACTTGAGAGACATATGACATACCACTCCCCCCCTCCCCCCACAAGCAAAGGAGGAAAGCAGATACCACTAACACCGCATTCGACGTTTGCCCCTGAAGCGTAGAGAGTTAACTTATGAAGTCCACCAGAAAGCAAGTACCAACGACGAAAAAGAGTCCCCCCCCCTCCCCGCTTTATATTATAAATCAACCAATATGGCAACATTCGAGAGCACTAATACAAACAAACACCAACACCACACTCAACACACACACCCAAGGCAAGATCAAAGGTGCCGGGCACTGACACACCACCCCAACGACTACCAAGCACACTACAAATGAGCAAACAAGAACCGCTTTGAGCCGACAGAGACCACCACAAGTGCGATCCACCGAGGAGGGCGAGACGGCCAATGTCGGAGCAGGGACTCCAAAATGGTGCCTCCAAGAAAGGCATGACCACGGAAGCCGCCATCGTCCGATCCCGCGGATCAAGTTTTTAACCGGAGCAACACAAGGGAGTGAGAGTACCGCGACGGTGTCTGCAAGGAGGAAATGATGACCACGGTCCCCGCCATCGTCAGACGAACCACGGTAGCACTGGTCGCCTGTGGCTCCTGCTGGCCTCAGCCCTTGCCGCCAGACGGGTCACCAGCAGCAGATCCAGCCGGATCTGACCGGGACATCGCACGCAAAACCACCCGGAGAAGAAGCCCCGTCACCACCTTGGACCGCTTCACCGGCAGCCGCTGCACCGCCACCAAGCAGCAGGGAGAGGCGGCGCCACAGCCCCCACGCGTGCCTGACGCCGCGCCGCTGAACCCCGCCGTAGCCCAGTGCCTCTGGCGGCCAACCGTCCTACGCGGAGGGGAAAGGAGCGGCCCCACCACCGCCTAAGCCGGTCGGGCTTTGCCCAACGGCGCCTCTAGGCGGCGGCGAGGGAGGGGGCGGAGGGGACGGTGTGGGAGGCGGCGGCCGCTGGTTCCCCTGTCCACTCGCGCTCGGGGGAAAGGCACCAACCACCAATCTCACTACTTCTCCATCATTTCGTTCCATGCTCGTCGATCTCATCGTCTTGATCTACTGGAATTAAACTGAACCTATGTGCTTGTTCACAGCTGCAGATCGTCACTGCCAGCAGTGGCTGAGATTAGTTAGAGACATGCCAGCCAGCATCACAGGCTTTCATTCACAATTATCGACGCACCTTGTCATGAAGATCAAGCTCGTTTCATGGGAGACTAGTTAATTCTTGCAATCATTTGGAAGTTGAGAAAAATGTGTCGCCCCTGTCTTCTTTCGTCATATATAGAGGCAGAGCCGATTTTCATTTCCTTCACCAGCATTTTATCTCCTCTTCCATTTCCAGAGAGGACAAACAATCTCATATCTGTAATTTCCATAGCCATGGCTTGCCATCACCGATATGCCAGTGTGCCTTCCAACCCTCTCTCGGATGGAACCAACATCCAAGATCAGCTGCAGAGCCTGAAGGCGGTCATGTCTTCGCCTTCTGTGACAATCCAGATAGTGTGTGCTGATCTGACAGAGCTCGTGAGCATCTACAGCTGCATCGACGAGCTCACATGCTTGACCAGCAGCAGTCAGACTTAGCAGAGGAAAGCTGTCGAGGACGAGCTTGAGCTCTCTTTAGTGCTGCTAGACCTCTACAGCGTCATGCAGGAGAGCTTCATGGAGCTCAGGACGAGTGTCGTGGAGGTGCAACTATCCCTCAAGAGAGTGGATGGCACGACAGTCCACACCAAAAGGTTCAGTCTTACGCCCGCTTGGCCAGAAAGGCTCAGAGGCTGTGCAAAAGCATCAGCAGCAAGGCTGCCTCTGACATGGAGGGATTCAGCGCCATCAAGATGACCGCTGAAGCGAGAGACATTGCCATCGTGATACTCAAGTCGACGTTGCATCTCTTTTTGAAGCAGATTACAATACCAAAATTTTCTAGTAGGTGGTCTCTAGTATGCAGGGCATTCCAGAAGAAGAGATTTGCATGCGACGAGGGGCAGTTGCAGGAGTTGCACATCATTGATCTTGAGAGTAGACTTCAGCTCCTCTTCAGGAGAATGATCCATAGCAGGGTCTCTCTTCTGAACAATCTTAGCTTGTAGCGAGATCAACTTAGTGCAGCATCTCTAACCCCCACTAATCTGTGACCACCATTTGGAGGATCATGGAAACAATTTTCTGATGTATTGCCGAAAAAGGGTTTCCTCCCGCTTTGTATTCCAAAGCAACCAACACCGATACAGGATCGCTGGGGCGAACAGCACAACAAGCCCAAAAGAAAAAAAGAAGAAGAAGCAAATGCCAACAACGGCAGCTCGACAAAGCGCGGATGACCCGCCACCGCTACACCCACCAGAGACAAACCACTACAACCCGAGGCTCCGGACCACCACGTACAAAACAACACCTCCAAGAAGGAAAGCGACGCCGACGACGCTGCTGCCTGGACATGTCCTAGGGTTTCCCCGGCACGCGGAGGGAGGTGGGGGATGGATAGCACCGACACCCTCCAGGAAGGAATGGTGGCACCTGCAGGTGTCACCGCATCGGGGCCAAAGACCGGCAAGGATTTCTCCCATACTCCAATCCCCACCGCCCAACGGACCGGAGCCAACCAGCCAGACCGCCGCCCACCACCATGCGCCATCGCGGTTGCGCCGTCACCCACGCCGCCTCACTGCGAACACCACCACGAGGCCAAGAGGACCGGAGAAAAGCGCCCCACGGAGGGAGAAGCAGCACCGAAGCCGAACGGGAGGGAACCACCTCCACCGCCGTCGTGCGGGAGGCCAGAGCCTCTGGCACCGTCGCGGTAGCCGTCCGGACGCGGCAGCAGGGCATGCCAGGCCACCCTTGGCCCGGCCAGGCCCGAAACGGGCCCGCTAACCCCGCCGCCACGCTGCAGCAAGCCGGCGATGGTGCCGCCAGCACCCTGCCGCTCATCGCCTCTCCCCCGCCTCCCGGAAGCCACGAAGCAGACCCACCCCGCCGCCGGCCCGCCCAGGCCCAGATGGGGCCCGAAGGGCCCAAATCTGGGCCGAGCGGGCGCCGCCAGACCATGCCACCACGTCGCCCCGCCGCCAATGGCGCCGCCGCCGTCCAGAAGTCCGCCCCCGCTCGCGCCAGGAGCCCCCGCCGCCGCGCTGGACCGCCGCCGCCTAGAAGCACCGCCCGGGGTCACCCCGTCCCGCGCCGGCGCACCCGAGAGGGGAAAAGCCAGGGGGCCGCCGCCACCAGCATCGCCCGGGCCAGGCCCGCAGCGGGCGCAGGCGACGGCGGTAGAGAGGAAGGGGGGAGAGGCGCGCGGAGGAGAAGGCTGGGCGCGGCCGGCCGCCCGCGGGGGCAGCGCGGTCGCGGGAGAGGAGAGGAAGGGAGTTCTGATGTATTTAATGTATAGAAAATCACTCAGTTCAAAAGCAAAACTTTTGTCCATTTAAACTTGTCAGCCTGAGTATAATTTCACACATGCCCCATGGTGCCTTTCTTTTCATGCTTCATAAAACCCGCGACCAAATAATCAATCACCCAAAATTGTAGCTATTCAATTCCAGTTTTTCTATTTATAAAAGGGTCACATCCCAGTCTCATTATGTGAATGCCCGTGGGGATTTGACTGCGTGTCACCCAAGTAAAACACAAAAAAGATCAACAGAATTTCCAACATATCACCACAGCAGTAGAATGCCACCTCAAACAAAAACAGGATGCCTAGACGTCTCAATCAGGAATTCAGTTTAAGTTCTTTCAGTTAAAATCTGATTCACTCAAACTAGTTTTCTTATTGAATGTTAAGACCTACAGTACATTAGCATTCCCAACCAAAGAACTATTTGAGCACTACTTAAGAACTAATATTTGCTGATCAACCAGAATACACACGGATGCAAAACTACTTGATTAGGATTCCCAATTAAAGAACTATTTGAGCATGCACGTATGACTAGAACAAGCAATAATCGAGTAAACTGCCGCCCCTTTCATTTGCTGTCAGTAGCTTAAGACATGAGAACGTGTTAGGCCTAGTTAGGAGCACCTAATGCACCCTTAAGATGCAAAGGGTCACATGAGGTAGTTAATAGCCCTAGTGGAAACATGCCAGCGATGCTCACCATACAAACACATCGTGTTGTGTTGGAGCTCAAAGGTGAAGTAAACTGTTCCTCCACCACCAATAAGCAACAGCTAGCTCTTTCGCTCCACTAGCTCACCAATCTCATGATTTGGATCTGGATCTGACATCAAACTGCATGATTGTGCAGATGAGTTTGCTGCCCATAGTGGAGACATGACAAGGTGCTCATAAGCTCAACCAGAGGCGAATAGTTGGAGATGCTACTTACACTGATCAGACATACAAAAGAAAAATCAGCTTGTCGTGGAGATGGGTGGCAGCGGCACAGCACCCCATCAGCGATGAGATTCCAGTTGTCTACAAGGCCAGCCATTTCATGGCTTGTGCTTATATAGAGAGGCAAACCATACCGGTTAAGCACCATTGCAGAAAAATTTCTTTTCTCTGAATCTCTCTTCCATTTCCAGATACATAGAAAGCACACCACACCATCCCCCATTCCAGCCATGGCTAGCCAGCAAAACCTCTTTTCTCTGAAGGCGAACATCTCTTCACCTTCGGCTACCATTGAAAAAATGTTCGATGGCTTCAGGAGGTGTGTACGTGTGTACAATAGCATTAAGGAGATCATATGCAGCCAAATTATCCTTTGCCAGAGCAACAAAGATAGGCTGTGGAGCTTGAGCTACAGCACTATCTTGCACTGATCGACATCCTAGAGAGCTTTTCTTAGCTCAAGACAAGCACTCAGGAAATTACATTGGCTCTCAGACCAAGATCCAGTCCTTCAGCCGTCTGACCAAGATGGGGCCAAAACAGTGGAAGAAGATCAACAAGAAATCTCCTTCAGCTGACGAGGGTTGCAGGGTGGTCAAACTGTTGGCTGGAGCAAGAGAGGTCGTTGCTTCAATGCTTCAGTCACCCAGGCGGCTCCTACTGAAGTAAATTGTGATGCCGATTTATAACAAGCGGTATCTTGTCTCTAAGTTCACTTCTATGCAACAAGGAGCAAATACTGAAACTGGAGTTTCGTTGTTCTTAGGGCAGTGCTTAGACTTTGTTGAGGAGATTGATCAGAGCAGAGTTTCTTTTCTGAATGCACCCACCTATTAGAGGATCAATTTAATGTTTATGCTGCTGATAGCTTGGACAGCGTCTTCAAGAATAAAACAACTCTGGAGCATTTAACTCAGATGGATCTTCAGAAAATATAGTTACTCTGAAATGCTCATCATTGCTGGCCGTCATACAAGCTAATACCATACTGTTAAAACCGTGTTTTGGAATGTGTCTCTACAAGATAGCCATGTTATTCAGATGCCATGTGTTGCTCAGAAACAAGCAAAGGATCCTTGTACAGTGGATCTTGCTATCCACGGCAAAGGAAGATGTTGGAAGGTGAAACAGAGTGCTCCCTTGAGCTACTAGATCTCTGCAATGCTATGCATGAGGACTTCACCGAATTGAAGGCCATTATCCAAGATCTGCAAGTGGCGACCAGAAAAGGAGATGACACCGCTGTTCAAATCAAGATCCAGTCTTACACCCACCTGGTGAAGAAGGTGAATAAACATTTCAAGAAGGCCGCGAAGAAGGTTACAACCGACAAGGAGGACTGCAGGATGGTCAGGCTGTTGAGCGAGCCTAGGGAGATCACCACCTCTCTCCTCGAGTCAACAGTACACCTCTTGTCGAAGCAAATCGCAGTGCCAAAATGGTCTCTCGTCTCCAAGGCATTCCAGAAGAAGAACCCGGTTGTTTGCAAGGAGGAGCAGTTGCAGGTCCTAGAGTGCAGTGTCGGAGATCTTGAGGCTGGAGCACGAATTCTGTTCCGGAGATTGGTCCAGAGCAGAGTTACTCTCCTAAACATTCTTAGCTCATAGATACTGTTTAACATCTGCTACTCTTGCACCGCGTGATTGGCTTCCACCTTTTAAAGGATTGCTGATCTTCCCAGTGTGTGTATATATGTAGAAATGTACAGAATACTCCATACAGAAAGGAAACAAAAGTTTTGATCGAACTCATACAGTGAATTCAATCTTTGCATGCTTCTGAGATTCCACGCTGGTGCATAACTACTTGCTTGTTCGTACCTTGTATATTAATGTGGCCACGTTGCCTCACACCTGCTTAATCTCATGATTTTGGTTTAGCATCTTTCACTGACATGACAGGTCCAAACTACAAGGCAAGCTTGCAAATGGATAACATGCTGGCCAGATTTTCTTCACGGCTACACAGCCTAGCCTGGCATTGCTTTGTTTTTATTTGCATCCAGCATTAAAAACACAATTACAATAAAAGAGATAACAACTTAAATTTGTTTGTTGGCAAGGCGTGGTGGTTGCAAAACAATTTGAAAATTTTCTGGAATCGTCGTGTACTTCTAATGATACTCGGTACTTGGCATCCATATCATTTGTGCACGTACATGATAGTGCATATAGTCATGTGAAACACTTCATTGAAATTTTCTTAATAGCTTTCAAAATTTGTTTGTTTCCTTAAGTTTATATTACATCAGTTTTGATTTTGAATGTTGTAGTTTCATCACAATCACTAGTTAGCGGTTACCCTTTACAAAGGTTAACCCACGCCGCATTTAGTGGTGACACGGGGCATAAGGCATGTTCAACACGTGTTGCCATCACGTTGTATTGGTGGGATTTTTTCGAACCTGGCAGAGGATGTGTAACATCGTTTGGAGGCTAGGGGGGTTGAATAGACTAACAGTAGTAACCACCTAAAAATCTAGTCAATTTTAATCTTCACAAACTTTAAGCTTAGCAAAAAGATGCCTAAGAACACCATACACATGCAAAACTACGAAAGAGTATAGTGTGGAAGCAAAACTTGCAAGTAAGGTAAGAGAGTTTGGGAGAGAGATCGCAAACCTGATTGTTCCTAAAGGTTTGGATGGTTGGCGCTATCATACTTTGGCAGAGGTTCAAATCAAAAAGGTTTTAAGACTAAGTACCACAAAGGTGAAAGTGTCAGTAGCATCGCCTACCAAGGATCCACAAAGCACTTACCAACCTATATCACCATCGCTTATGAACCACAATGGTCAGGCCGGATAGATCTTTACGAAGTAGGCGATCTCCTAGTGTCAGTGTACAAAAGTAGGGGCCCTTCTGTACCCCTTTACTTGCTTGACGGAGCAGGGGAAGCAAAGATACAAGGCTGTCGAGGCAGCACTCAAGCCAGAAGCATAAAGAGCGAAGGGACAAGATGGGCTTCCCCTGGCAAGAGCCTTGCCGGGGTGGCCTACATGGCCCCGGCAAGAGCCTTGCCGGGACAACTTGCCCAACACCAGCAAGACCGCCACCCTTGAGCCTGAGAGTTATGACGCCATCGACAACATCAAGACCAAGGCTCGGGAGTGTCTTGCGTGGTGGCATGCAGATCTTTGTGAAAACCAAAGGCCTGCAAGCCTAGATGAGAACCAGAAGACAAAGACCCCCGGCAAGATCTTGCCGGGGACGACCGAAGACCTCTTGCCGAGGACGCGCGCAAGCCC